TTTAACTGAAATACTTTCACCCCAGAGATAGGTTTTATGATTCCTTTACATAAATGGTAAGATGATAATGAACAAACTCTGAAACTACACTGTCCGGATTCAGATTCCATCCTACATTGTAATTTAATATTGTAATTTTAGCCTTCAACTTAAGAGTCTACCACCTAAGCTTCCAGAGTGTCCTTTGTTTCCATTTTGCTTTTTTTATTTGTTTGTTTGTTTGTTTCTACTTAAGTATATGTTCTCTTTCTTTCATTTGTGTTTTTGTTAAACCTCTTAAAATCCTCTCTCTTGTTCTTTCTCTCCGCTCTTCCCTCTTCCCTCCCCTCTCTCTGAAGAAATTGTTTATAGTGCATTTTAACTACCTGTTTAATAGTGTCTCAACTTCTGGTTTTCCCATCCAGAGTAGCTGATTTCAACAGTTTGTACTCTATATCTATAGAACTCTCACTTTTTAAGGCTGTTAAATCCTGATTGAGGCTAGGATATAGCTTCATGGTAGTGTTGGTCCAGCGTGCAGAAGGTGTTGGGTTCCATCCCCAGCTCTGGGAAACAAAATATTCTTGATTATATTTTTATAATTATATGCTCTTTCTTTATTTTTTTCCATACTTTTATTTTTTTTCTTTTTGCATTGCATTATTTTATTTTTTAAAGAGAGTACAAAATAGTATTTAAAAAGAAAAATTACAAGTGATACAGAATTTCACTTAACAGAATAATATGAGTTTCACAATTTGTTGTAATGCATAATGTTGTCTTCCAAATAGTTGTCCATGTACCAGATACATGCATGTAACATTGGAAGAAAGAAAAAAAGAAAGAAATATGTAAGAAATAAGAAGAGGAAAAGGAGCAGCAATTGAAAAAAGGAGTAAAAACAAATTAAGCATTAACTGCTGCTTACCATAGACCAACAGAAATCTGCAGTGCAGTTGTCCACACCATCCTGCTTACATACATAGATAAATATCTTAAAGGAAATATATTATGTTCAAATTATAGAAATGTTCACATTAAAACACCCACCTTTCCATCAACTATAACTGTTCTGTTGTTAAGGTTTGAAAAATGGAAAAAGTTAAAGCAGTTGTGACAGAATCATTACAGTGATTGTCACCCCTCACTGCTTCTCCCAACTCCATTTAATTCTTACTAGATTTGTTTAGAAATATAACACACAGAAAGCAAGTAAACTTAGTCAAATCCAGTTTTAAAGTTTCACTGAGTTTTAGACATTGCATTATCTGGGGCTGGGGATATAGTTCAGTGGCATAAGCGTCTCCCTGGCAAATGCATGGTCCTGAGTTTGATCT